GCTACGCTAGACCATGCCTGACCTCTGAAGGAAGAAACAAGCTGCCATCAAGGGGGGAACCGCCCGCTTACCCTCTGCTGTGAGCCCTGGCGGCTCAGTGGGGCACATGCTGAGCTGTTAACTGTAAGGTCCGTAGTTCAGAACCACCTTCTGCTCCGAGGGAGAACTGAGGGTCTTCTGCTCCTGTAGCCAGGCAGTCTCGGACACCCACGGGGCCACTTCTACCCTGGCCTGTCGAGCTGCTCTGCGTCAGCATCAACCTGATGGCAGTGAGTTTGGTTGCTTATTTTGAGGCGTTGAGATAAAACTGAGCGTTTGGTTCCAGGCAGCAGCAGAAAAATGTAGTTCATGGAGTCAAGACACGCCTGTACCCAGGCGCACACTTACTGACCTATCAGAGACTCGAGGAGCCCGAGACTGGCGCCCTCGGTCACCCTTGGACCTGGAAGTGTGAGGCCTTTGCTTCAGACCGCCTTTCAGCCAAAGCATAGGTCCGCCAACAGTAGTACCTCCAGAGGACCGTGTTCCCTGGCCCAGTAGTTCTACCAGATCCAAAGAACAGCATTCACCAAATGCAAAAGTGAGAAAGCAGGAAGTGGGGGTAGAAAATGCAGACACGAGATGGGGAGCCAGGGTGGAAGTGGGGGAAGCAGCCAGCCTAGAATACATTACGTGCAGTGTCCCACAGGGAACTAATGGCCCTCCAGACTTTCCCCTAAAGGACAGTAACAAGCAGGTAAATGCGCACATGGTGAGTAAGGGCCTCCATCACGTAATTGACCTTCTGAACCAGGAGGGAGAGCTGCAGACGGAAACACTAAGCTGCGTCATTTGTAAGAAATCAGAGCGCCGTGAAGAAGGAGAGATGGTTTTTAGCCTTTTCTCTGAAGAAGCCCAAGTTACTCTGGGCCGCTCACGCCCCATCCTCTCCAGGAGAGAGAGGAGCTCCGGGCTTTGAAGAGCCCAAGTGATAGGAAATTCCTCCGTGGCTGCGTTTCCTTGGGGACAAGTCGGGCTGTGGAGAACCTTGTGCTTGGGGGCGGTAGGCAGGACCTGCCCAGGTGCTCACCCCCTTGCCCTCCTGCTGTGGGAGGACGGGCCCTGCCTCCAGAAAGAGCAAGCTTGAGAGAGAGGCAGGTAGGTTTCTTAGGCAGCCGCGTGCCCCTGGTCGAGGGGCATTGTTGCATGTGCAGAAGGAAGTTCTCCACGGGCTGCTTTTGTTAGGTGTGGACAGGGACTTCAAATAAGACCCCCCAAACTCGCCCCCACCACGTGGACCCTGCAGGACAGAACAGACCTGGCCTTGTGTGACGTAGGAGGCTGTGAACCTTGCTGGGAGCAGAAAGCCGCATCTTTCCCCATAAAGCAGTTGGAGGCTCTGAACGTGGGATCAGCAGCCCAATTCATAACCACTGTGCCTCCGGGGCTCCTTAGGAAGTGACTAGGGGTTTGAAATTGCTGCTCGCCGATGGCAGGCAGAATTGGAACTGTAGGTGAGTTAAGCTTTTTGCTCGTTCATTAAAACGTGACATTGCTCGGTCGTGGTTGACTCCTGGGGGAAGGCATTGTAAGATTCTGTCGGACTTCATGTACACAATTTGATTTAGATAATGTGACTCTTGCACAGGAAAAAAGCGCTAGTGTCTCACTTTCCCTGCAGAGATGTGAATCCCCTCCCGCAATACGCAGAAGCCCCCTGCCCCAGCCTCCCTCCCGTTGATGTGCCTTTGGGTGTGGATGGAGATAAAGGTGAGTGGCGTGGCCCGGACCCCCCTTTATACTGCTGACTGGTGCGTTAGAGAAAGACAGGATGGCTGGGGCTGGCTGGTGTGCCCAATGCTCTGCCTGGTTACATGACCGCCATGGGTCCTGGTGGTGCCTGCTTCTGGCACTGCGTCACAGGAGCCTCATGGCCCCTCTGCCTCCAGCCAGGCAGGGGTGTTGCTCTCCCTGTGAGCAGTCCTTGTGCTCCCCACCCCTAGCCCCCACGCAGGTTTTCCACTGCCTGTGGGCTCCTGCCCCAGTCTGCACCCAGAAAGGAAAATGGACAGGCGATGGTGCAGCCCACAGGAGTGGAGACCTGCTTGAAGAATATGTCAGCCTGCCTGCCCACTCCTCCTCCTCCCTAACTCGCCTCATCCTCCAGAGCTTACCTTGCTTTCTCCAGCCAAATCTGACTCCAGTGACCCTACAGGACCGAGTAGAACTGCCCTCTGGGTTTCTGAGGCTGCAAATCTTTACCGGAGTAGAAAACGTCATCTTT